CCCCAAAACCCCAAAACCCCAAAACCCCTAATATTTTCATACAAAATGATTATATAATAATTTATCAGAAATGGAAGAAAATAAAGCAAATCAAGAAAGGGAGTTGTTCCACATTGATAAAACTTCAAATAAGGATTCTCTGAAAGTAGCCAGTCGAATTGAGAACAGAACAAACCAATTTTTAAACAACAAAGATGCTGATGGTCTTGGAAATAACAGAAGTGAGCACAATGAAGCGAGCAGGAAAGAGATCAAGAACAACAAGTTTGCAAAGAACAGAAATTATGAAGTCAATGATGAGTCTGACATTACTAATGCCAAAGGCATTCCGGCTGAGAAGATTGAGCACACTATTAATCAAGCACAATCATTGTGGGAAGAAGAAATGACCATTATGGACTACTATGAAATTTTAAAGAATACCAAGTTTGAGCTCTCTGATTTCCCTCTTCTTCAAGAACTTATAAATTCTGACAAAGATCACAACATTTTATTAGCAGTAGTTGGGCTGAGGAAATTGATAACACTTGCTGACAATCCTCCGATCCAGAATGTAATAGACACGGACGTGTTGTCTCAGCTAATTACTTTGGTTGGTAGGAATGATATTCCTAAAATTCAGTTTGAAACTTTGTGGTGTCTTACGAATATTGCTGGTGGTAAAACAGAACATGTTCAGGCTCTAGTTGACAAAGGAACCATACAAATATTTACTAACTTGCTTGGAACCATTCAGAAGAATGAATTAGGAGAAGAGATATTCCACTGTATTCACCCAATGGATATTGTTGATCAGAGTATCTGGGCTTTAGGAAATATTGCTGGCGAACATGTGAATTACAAGGCTTTGATATTGAAGGAAGGAGTTATTAAACCCCTATCCAATATTCTTAAGAATGTAGAACCAAACTCAATAATGGCTAAGAATTGCATATGGTGCATCTCTAATTTGTTGAGAGACAGGCCTTTTCCAAAAATCGATGAGCTTTTATATATCATTCCGATTATAAATGAGTTCTTTAAAATTAATGACATAGAGGAGATAATTATTGAATGTGCAAGAGCTATTTCCTATATCTCAGATGCAGGAGAGCAGACAATTAATAAGATGCTCAAGCTGGGAATGGCAAAAATACTTAGTCTTCACCTTAACTCATCCAATGTTAAAATAATATTTCCATTAGTGAGAACACTTGGAAACTTTGTGACAGGAGATGATGAAGAGACTCAATTTGTCATTGATGAAGGAGTGTTGCCTAACCTTCATACTCTGTTATCCCACCCAGATAAAGTAATTGTAAAGGAGGTTTGTTGGGCATTATCTAACATTTGTGCTGGAACAATCAGCCAGATTTCAGAATTGATAGAACTAGGAGTCATTGACAAGATGATTGACCTTTGCCATGATGATGACCATAACATTCAGAGAGAAGCTGGCTGGGCCATTTCTAACACCACTACTTTAAGAGATCCCGACATCGTTTCAGAAATTGTGAAGAGTAAAGGAATCGAAGCTTTATGCTATTTATTAAAAAGTAAGATTGACATCTGAACAAAATGAATTCTTTTGGAAGGAATCAGAAATTGCCTTGATGTTGGCCAACAAAGTTTGACCAATGAGGAAGGAGAGAACCAATTTGCTTTAATTGTGGAGAATTGTGGAGGCCTAGATACGATTGAGAGCTTTTATACTCACGAAGATAGTAAACTTTACAAACTCTCAGAAGAGATTATTGATTCATACTTCCTAACAGAAGTTAATCTTGACGTAGAAGAAGATATGATTCAGCATTTCTAAGTTTATTATTAACTAGATATTAATGAAAGCATAGAATGCCCATATCAATTTAACATTTCATTCAATTATATTCTTCACCCATGGGGTTTTGGGGTTTTGGGGTTTTGGGGTTTTGGGGTTTTGGGGTTTTGGGG